AACTAACTTATCACTAGGGTCTTAATTAAAGGCATTATTCTTGGTCAAGGTGATGCCCAATGGCAAAGATATTCAAATTTCCACATTTGTTTTGTCATCTACAAAGACTTGAATATTGCATATATAGCCCCCCAAAAGTGCTGAATTTATCTCTTGGGAAACTCTATTCATTATTCATAAATAATTAATGTTAGAAACTCAACCACATTGTTAAGTTATAGTAGTAAATAAATGAATTGTGAGTTTGAAAACCTCCAACCAACCACAGATGACTGCCCAAAAACTAATGCTCATTTACTAGTGAAATTAATGATATCTCGTAGCTTTAGTTAATGCTAATGCCCAAAATTTTGAAATTATTTGCTTGTGTTATACTTCTACATGGAATTGGAATATATAGTTTAATATACTTGAAAAATCTTTTTCTTATTTCTCTCAATATCGCGAACAAGATCTAAGAATAACATTAGTTAATCGAACAAGGGAAGTGGGTCGTTTAACCGTGAGATCAAAAGGGATTAATTGCTTGTTCATGGCAAAGGTTACAAAGTTATTCAATTTTATATTTCTTTCTTTTTTCTATACATTTTTTTTTATTACTAATGTACGGTAAAGATGTTCAACGTATGACTAAAGTCCACTATTAGACAAACTTAATTTATTGTTAGACAACGATACTTTTTCATCACACATATATATATGCATTTTTAAACGAAATATTTTTACTCTACAAAACAACATAAACAAAAGTATGATATTTTTATATCATAAGTATGTATTTATGATATAAAAGTATAATGGGTCGACCAGTCCATTGGTTAGACAAACTCCGAGAAAAAAAATTATGTAAATAATATTGCTTATCTAAAAATATTGAAAAATGAAATTAAATATTTCCATTTTAAATATTTGATTCACGTTTCTCCACTTTTGAGTTTTACAAGTGTTGTATTTATTTATTTATTTATTTATTTATTTATTTATATTATTTACAAACACTAATATAGGAGCATGTGGTCACATTCTTTAAGTTCACCAATACCAGAAGAAGCATGACCCCAGTGGCCTACGAAGTAACAGTTCACAGCACTATATGCTGTCATTTTCTCCATATAATTCTTTTTCTTTTATTTATTTATTTGCAAATAGGATCTAATAATTATAATTAATTACATATATCTAAAACAAAGTATCAAAACATAAAGTCATGACTTTATAAGGACAAACAAAGACTTCCTAAATGTAACTTTATTTTCTTACCGGAGATGCTACAGTTCCGTGACGGAACCATTTCGTCGGGGTTTGTAACCGTTAGATCATTATGTAACTATCAGGGATAGTTGATCTAACGGTTACAAACCCGATGAAATGGTTCCGTAATGGAACCGTAACATTTCCTTTCTTATGATGAGAAAAATTGTAAAAAAATAAAAATAAAAGTTGGTTGGGGACCTGACTAGTGAGCTTTCCTAAAGGTTATAATTATATCAATAGACTTATATAACACTCAAAACACATATTGCCATTTTAAAGTAATCAACCCTACTAGCATTTATTTCGATGGGTATTAATTAAGTATACTAAATTAGTAAAACATCTTTTGGTCAATAATCGAATTTGCATGAATCAAAATCAGGTGGTAGTTGAGAAATTTATCTTTTGAAATAAAATCAACTAGTGCTAATACCCACAATATAAGTGTTAAGAGTTAATGAATATATGTGTAAAGTTATTTATGTCTAATACCAAACTTAACTCCAGAGAAAAAATAATATAAAAACAACATCACGAAGCATAGATTTTCGTCATGACAGCATCCGAAGCGTGAAAATCTACCACTTAGGCTCAACACGTTTTAAATTAATATATAGAACGTTTTGAATTAATATATAGGGAGATATTAGGATGATATCTTTTGAAATTTAGGATGATATCTTTTGACATAGGGGGTAAATAGTTAGTCAACTATGACTTTTTAATTTAAATATTAATATCTTTTGAAATTTAGGATGATGTCTTTTTTATATAATAATAAATATTTAATGCATATTAATATTGTTTATTGATGTAATTAATTTAAAAATATATCAACAAATTTAATGTTTGTTAGAAATGTGATTACATGTATGTATCCAAAAAAAAATCTTAATTTGAAATTTAAATTACAAATCAAATGCCAATTTTCAAAAAAAAAAAATAAAATAAAATAAAAAAGTTACTAATTGCAGTAAATTTAAAATTTTATGGGGGATTTTACATGTTTATTTTGCGTAATAAGTCGATATTGCTATTTTATAGTAATAGATTACAACTTAGTTGAAAATACCAATCACCTAGATTAGTACTTTAGTCAAAGCATAAAACATATTATTTGACTAAAGAATATGTTTTATTATTAGGAGACTCACTCACCACTGTCAGGTGTGTGACCCGGTCGACCAACGGATTAGTCGAGGCATAGCTCCAGATACCGTGCTGGCTACAAAAAAAATAAAGCACAAAACATATTAGGATGATATCTTTTGAAATAGGGTATAAATAGTTAGTAAACTATGATAATTTGTCTACTCAACCCACTAATTCAATATTGACAAAAATACAAAGGAAAAAAAAAAGAAAAAAAAATGTTTAAAAAAAATAGTAGCATTAAGGACTCACCAAATTGACCACAGATTATCTCGTTTTGATAGGACCCGCAATATCTAAACAACCAACGAAAAACATATTATTAAAAAATAAAAAAAAAAGGTACCACACAAAATAAATATATTGAGTAAATTAATATTGAACACGTAAACTAGAGAAACATAAATAAATAAATAAATTCTCCCTATATATAATTGCCGAATGCGTTGAGCCTACGTGACTGCTTCTGGTACTTCGGAATCTTACATGGCGAAGAATCATGCTTCGTAATTAGGTTTGGACAAATAATATTGATATATTAATAATTAATAATATCTAGGTTTGGACATTCCATAAATATTATTTAGTTAACTTAGGTATTTTAATATCATTGTACTAATATAACCCTTTAATTTCTTGTAATTTTACATAATGAGACACTAAGTGACTAATATATCCCTGACTTTTGATTTGTTTCCTTCAATTAGCTATTGAATTGTAAATATATTTTAAAAGTTGATAACTTTTGTATTTCTTATCGGTTTTACATATATAATATATCAAATTAATCATCTTTTGATGATCTTCGATTTGACATCCATATTGTATATATTGAAATAGATAAATTATATTTATATTTATAATGATAAAAAATAATTATATTTATTAAAATGTATTAGAAAAATAAAATTATTTCTCAATTGATATAATTATGTTTAATGTAGTTATATGTTGTAAGTTAAAAAAATTATTATAATATAACACAGGTAAGTCGCACAAATAAAAAGTGTCATACTAAATATATATTTTTATAAGAGGTATTTAAATTTTTAACTATTTTTCTTATTAATTTTAGATTTTAAGAAAAAAAAAATTAACAAGCACCCGTGTAATACACGAGAGTTGTACTAGTAAATAAATAAAGTGAAAACGAAGAAGCAAACAACCGAGTTTAATGTTATATTTCTGCTTTTTCAATCGTTTGTTTATAGAAACTAGAAAGTGACTAATACATTTTATATAATTTATTTTAATAATATGTTGTTAACTTATTTGTCATATAATAGATTAATAGTTCTACTAATCTACAAAAAAAAAAAAAAAAATATAGCATTTTTCTTCAATTTGTTTATTTTAAAATTAATATTTAATTTTATCTCATTAAGTTTTTTATGCATAACAATTTAATTCCTTTTTAATAATATAAACAATTTGTGTAATAAAAAACTATTTTTTTCAAGAAATCAATTAGTCAAGAATCAAGATACACAAATTTATAAAAGAATATATTATTCAATACATTTTCTATTATTTATATATTGATTCACGTTATATTTTTATTAATAATCAAATCTTTAAAATGTAATATTTACGTTTAATATTTTTTATTATAAATATAATATTTATATATAATTTATAATATTTTATTATTTGTACAGATGCACATGATTGACTTCTAATTTAATTAAGATTTACTGGTACGATATTAGAGCAACTCCAACGCTGGCGTAGAGTTTGCTCTCTAATCCAACGCTACAATTTTGCGCTATTTGAGATAAATGAACAATGTTGTGTCACTTGTAGCGCAGCACTGTAGCAAATGCGCACCAGATTTTTTTTTATTTTTTTTTGTGTATATTTAATGTAATATTAATGTAAATTTTTGTATAATGTGTATTAGTAAATGTACTTTTGTGCTAAATAACTTTGTGTAATGTATTTTTATGCTAAATAATTTTGTTCATTTTATTTATTGATGCATTATAATTTTATTTTGTATTATTTTAATATAAAAATAGTACCATATGAATAAAAATTTAACACATTCAAACATACTATATAAAATTATTTAGGTAATATACATTTGATATAAAATTAAATATACATATATATATATATCATTTCATTTGAAATAAAAATAAATAAAACAATTTTTTTATTATTTGGTAATAAACATTTATATAAATTAAATATACATATATATACCAATTTATTTGAAAAAAGATGAATAAAAAAAATAATATATTTAATGTAGAATAAAATGTAGAAATAAGGTCTGTAGGCGAATGTTTTACTCTATTCTAGAGTAGGGGCGAACATCGGTGCGGTTCGGTAAAAACCTGCATCGCACCGAAAAAAACCGAAAACTGAATTTTTAAATTTTTTTCACCGTACTGCACCGCTATAGCAGGAAAATTTCGGTTCGGTGCGGTTTGTTTTTTCGGTTAACCGAAATTAAAAAATAACC